AGTCTCTCGATCACAACGCCGATGTCGCGACCTCGAGACTCTTGAAGGCGAGTAGAGCTACAGAACCGTAAAACACGCTCAAATCTCCCAAATCTACTGCACCATGCCGAATCTACGCACGGTCTGTCAACTCTCAAGGATTGATTAGCTCGTTGGGCAAGGGTTTGTCGGAGAACGTCAACTCATCAACCATGACTACTTACACTGACAGTGGATTTCTTGGAATATGGCCTTAAAATTCGCTGCTGTAGGCTTCTCTACGAAAACCTACTTAACTGAACTGCAATGACATACTTATACTAGCAAGAGATCAAGTTTGTTTGAACGCACCTTCCATACGGATAGCGAGGCAAGTATGATTGTAGGATTATGGTCAAGGCATTGGTAGGATTGATTGTGGTACGTCATGCTTGTTCGTGTTCAAATTGATTTGTGTCGATGATGATCATGTCTTTGAGGTGGAGTAGTCTTCCTGCAAGCCTTTCATGCGTAAATGATAGAATATGTATATATATATAAATGTGTGTGCCTACCGAAGTGTGGCGGGCGTCTTTTTCTCGTTACGGCTCTGCCTCGCGTTGGACACACCCGCCTACCGTCGGATACCCCTACCGCAACAAAACATTCAACCATTACTGGTCTTTTGAGTCATACCTAGAATTATGAAAAGTGGGAACCATAATGCTTAACGTCGTCATTCCAAGTAGAGATATAATCGTCCATCGATCAATTGCTCCGCAAATGCTTGGAATGGAAGTATGGCGTTCGAATTTCCCGTGATGTTGCAACATTTAGTCGGAACCTCTTTTCCAGCTTGTTGGCCTAGGTATGCTGTGCACAGTCTTCACGCACCACCTCTCTTTCAGCATAGCCCTAAGGGCGAGGGTGCCTGTGACGCCCGAGCTCGGAGACCTTGTATCTCTCTTTTTCTTCTCTCTCTCTTTCTATTTACTGATTACTCGGTTGGTCTCAAAGGTCAGATCGGCGAGTCGGATCGGCGGCGTTTCTTGTACATGCACGGAGAGAACTCCCTCCCTTCCCCCCCCCGGTGTTTACCATCGGGGTTGGGTTTTCGTCGCTTGGCAACGACGTTGTAAAACAAGCCAATTCACTTCGTGAACTCGGCAATCAGGTTACCGTTTTTTTTTTTACCTCCGTTTTTTTTTCGGCGGTAACCGTAATGGTGGTCGAGTAGATCATGTTGTGCGGGGTCGAGAACCCTCACTC